ACATTCACATATTCCACACGTCTGTTCTTCACCACAGATTTTGCTGAGTCGTCATTTAAAGAAATGTATTTGCACAGTCATTTTCTCAGGGTGAAATATATTAACCCCCCCACCCCCCTCAGGGTCCCGTCTGTCTGATCGGAGAGGACACGCAGGTCCTGAGTGAAAACACTCAGGTCCAGCAAGCGAAGCCTTCCTCCTCCTCCTCCTCCTCCTCCTCCTCTCTCTTTATCCCTCTTCTCTCCCCTCCAGCAAATCTATCCTCTCCACATCGAGCATTTCATCGTCTCCTCAGCCGGGGATTTGCTCCCCGCCCCTCCACCCTCCTCTTCTCTCCCTCGTTTCCTCTCACTAATCTGACATCTGTTCAAACTCCGGCCTCCGTCATGAGGACGACCCGCAGGAGGCGGTGAAGCTTTAAGTCGACCACAAAAAAAGAAAACATCTTTCACTGTGATTTTAAATCTGAGGCTTGAAAAACGTCTCAAATAAAGTTTCTGACCTTTTAGCTCGTTCTTATCACACCGATGTTCAAGTGTTTCTGATGAAAATGGGCTGAGACATCATGATTGACAGCTCATCTCGCTGCCGTGGCTCCACTCAACGATCACCACAGACTCATATGACGTGAAGCCGGCGGTGTCCGTGGTCGAGATGTTTTGGCTTCATGTTTGCACAATGGGAGGACGTGGAGATCTGGAGTCACTGTCTATTCACACAAACCTCCAGAAAAACAAGTTGTGTTGATCTGGAAACTGCAAAGTCATGCACACCTCCTCATTTTCTTCCACCTCTGGGAGAGGCTCGATTTGGATCTGCTTCTAAATCCTGCGCAGGAACTTCCTGTCTTTTAAACTCCGACAACCTGCAGACACAGACTGGTGCAGCAGAACTGACTGGACGGCTTCTGAGGAACTGAGTCATCCACTCCAGCAGCAGATTCCGAGGATTCACTGCAGCTCTGACGCTCATAAAACAGAAAAAGCTAGAAGGACGATTAGAGCGGCTCTGAATGATCAAACACTCCATTTACTGGATTCAGGGGAAGTCTTAAAATATACTAATGGAGAAAGTGAAAAGTGAGATTTCCTCAGAAGTCAGGATATGTGAGTGTGTTTCTGTGTTGGCACCTGACAGCTAATTCTGTGTGAGGAAGTCTGACACCCTCATTTTTTATCTGCAGCCCAGAGGAATAGAAAGTGAGGCTGATGCATATTTCATGATGTTTAAAAAAAAAACAAAAAAAAAAACAACCTTCTGCTGAAAGTTTAACTTCAGATACAGCGACATCGCTCAGTCTCATCGGAGTCAGCACTTAAAAATGTGACGATGTGCTCTCACTGTTTTTAGCCTCGTCACCCTGACCCACTTCCTGAGTGGCTGAGTGCATCATGTGGGAGATCAGTGGGAAAGAGAAGAGGTTAAAGCCACTTTCATCACGGCTGCAGACGCTGCTCCCTCACGTTTAGGTCTTCAGTTGGATTTATGCATCTTTCTGTTCGTCCTTGAGAAACAGAGACCAGTCTGGGTCACACAGAGAATTCATGTGTGTCAGTGGAATCAACAGAATCACTGGATTTACACGGTTAATTCAAAGTGTTTGTTTCTCCTCGTGCTGCTCAGGCCAACAGGAGAATGTGTGTGTCAGAGTTTAACAATCACAAAAACACATCTGAGCCGCTCTGACACAACGCTGACCCGGAGAGTCCACTACAGACGATCGGAGGGAAAAGGTTTTACTGCAGGTGACGTCTTAAGCAGAAGTTTTTATTCTTGATTAAATACAGGAGAGAAAGTTAACAAGTTGTTTTACCAAATCTGAGCTGTTCTAAAAAGAATTATTATAATCTCGAAGTCAGACAGTCTCACCGCAGAGATCAAGACTGACCAGGATCATTAAAACCTTCATTTCTAAGCACATGAAGCTGAACATAGAATAAATCATCTAATAAAGAACTTGGTAAAACTCCGCAGGAGAAACCCTTTTAGTTCATCTGCTGCCAGCGAGATACGCCTGCATTTTATCTTCTATCTGGAGTCAAGGTCAAACTGAGTCGTTTGTCTCCAGCGGCCGCTCCCTGGGTGCTGCCCGCCGCTTATCTGCTACAGCAAATAATGTGTTTCTAATCACACTGCACGTGGGAGCAGCGGAGGGAGGTTTTCCAAAGAGGCAAAGAAACAAGGAGAAGTTTTGTAAAGACTGCGCTGAGTTCAGGGGGAAGGTGGACTGAAAGAAATGGAAACATGGAAGACAGGAGGAAAGAATCGGAGAGGGCAGAGCCCAGAAAGAAGACTGATGGAAGGCTACATGAGGTCGGGGACAAAGAGACGCAGTGTGTCTTGAACTGGGATATTTTTAGTTGGCAAATCATTAAAATAACTGACATCAAGGCGATTTGAGTTCTGTGGCTAGGTCTATCTCCGAGACTCTCACGAGCTGATAACAGTTTGTTAAAGACGTTAGACACCCTTGTTGACAAGAAAGAAAGATTAACAGCCTCCGACAAACGTTCACTTGTTTACTCTTTTTCTATTTCTGTTCCAATGACCTCGATTCAGAGGCTGAAAACAAAATCTAGAGACACCAGAAGTCTACAAAGCTGCAGGGAGTCAAAGTATCGTACCTTCTTGGAAAGGACCCAGAAGCCTTGAGGAGGCAGCTGCTCGTTTTTTCCTGCAGATCAGACAGAGTTGGCAGGAAAACAAGAAGATAAACAGACGATTGATTCCCTGATCGTGCAGAGAAAGACTGATTACCGCTGATTTGTTTCAAAAAGCACGGATGTAGAGGGCGAGGGCACTTGAAGAAAAGGAGGATGATCAACAAAGGCCATGGCGTCCATCCTCTGAGGACCATGAATGTCACTGCAAAGACTCAATCCATAGTTTGGAGAGGAGGACAAACTCAACAGACCCACGATCACACAACCAAGTGTTCGTCCTCGTCCTAATAATATGCTGCTAAACTTAACTGACCCCCACTGTGAGGTTTTGATTTCACTCCACCATTTCCATCATTCATTATCCAATGATTAAAAAATAACTGTAGCTCTTTCTTGAACCATAAGACAAAAAACCAAATCTCATTCAGAGAGAAAAGAGATCTGATGAAAACTGCAGCCTGCCTCCATCAGAGAGAAGGTGGGGGAGCCGACAAACTGACATTTACCCTCCACCGTTGATACAAAGCTTCACACAGAGGCATTTGAATTAGAAAGACGGAAGATACGTCGGATGGGAAATGGTTTATTAGGTCGTAGAAGTTGTGGTGAGATTAGAAAAACCAGGCGGTGGTTTTAACCGAGCACTGGCCATGAGTAAGCTACGAGTCACCTCGACCTCATGTCGACACAACAACTAATGCCTAAAGTGACAACAGGATGTGCAGCAACAGCCCAGAGACGAAGACGTTTCACTGATAACAGAAGCATCGACTCTGCTGTTCTTTCTGTCGGATCGGGGCAGTGAACACGTTCACAGTTAGAGGCCGAGTCGTTCCGGACACGTTCTTTGGAAGAGGAAGTGAAAGTTGATCAGGTGAGCTGACAGGTGGGAGGAAGTGAACCAATCACACGCTGCACCTCACAATCAAGACGCTTAACACAACAAAAGCCCGGAGGAGAATCCTGACAAAACATTTAAGATGCTCTGCTCTTATTAAAATCTTCATTCTCAATGGATCCAGAGATTTGTGTTGATGGTTGGATTCCCATTAAAAAGAGAATCAGAGGATTAAGAAATCTTTGGTGTAAATGAGTTGAAAAATGGGTCACACAGCTCAGAAAGAGGAACTCCAGTTGCTTCACAGAAACTCTTTCACCATCGCCTGTGTTTCAGCATGAAAAGGCAAATTCCCACTCGCACTTACAGAGACTGTTCAAATCTATGTGACATCATGAACACCACAGAGGGTCTTCCTATGTGAGCCATGAGAGAGAAACACAATAAAGTCTTTTAGAGGCTCCGTCGCTGCCGCGCTCCCTGACCGAGCTCTCACAGCTGCAGGGACGCTCATCGAGAGGAGCAGGTGGCTGCTTCCTCCTTTATTTACACACAGACACGCACTGTGAGGAAACGGGAACAGAGATTGTGATCTAAAATGATTGTGTAGTTCCTTTTGATAGAATTTCTAAGCTGTGCCCAATTTCTGCATTTGTCCTCATGAACCAGACTCAAAACGTTATTTAGAAAGAAAAGCAATGGATTCAGATTAAACCAAGCAGAACCCCCCACAGGGGAAACTACCAATGACAAGTCCAGATGAAATCAACTGGAACAATGCAAATCATTTAAAAAACAGCTGTTTACACGCTGCTCTTTCAAAAAGGTTCATTATAGGTCTCCAGTGTATCGCAGAGAAACAACCCCGTTAGCACCAACAGTCAATTAAGAGTCTCAGCAGAAAACCCACTCAGACACAAGGAGAACTTCTCAAGCCGGGATCTGAACCAGGAACCTTCTTGCTGGAGGCGACAAACCTCGACTTAACACCATGAATGCAGAAGTGATTCTGTCCTGAAAGTGTGTTCAGACGACCTGGTATCAACTTTGTAAAAAACACAATATGAAAAAGATGATCGCACGCCCTTTCATTCCAGTGGTCTGCCTTCAAAGTCCTGGAGACTAGAAACAATTCACACGATCCAACACCAGACCGAAGGAAATCTGGTGAATCCTCCATGAACAATGAGAATAGTTTCAGAAGTCACTGTTTTTAATTCCAAAACGAATTTGTTAAGCAGCAGACAAAAATATTTTGCAGTCAAGTGGGTGATGGATTCGACAGAAGATGATAATCTTCTGATCAATTTAACGTCTGAATCGAGTTCAAAAATATTTCCTCGAGCAGCGAGTCTGATGTTCCATGTGACCAGAGCTAATAACGAGCTCGGACCGAGCACTTCTGCTCTCGTGTTCCCAAATGTAGACACGCAGATCCAATCCTGGCACAATGAGACAAAACCAAACCCAACCACAGACGTCGCCCTCTGCTCACTGACCTGCCTGGCCAACCTGCGGGCCTCCCAGTACGGCTTCGACTCCTCAACGGCTTTGCCAATCTTCTTCACCAGTTCATCCAGCTTCACCGTGGCCTCCACCAGAACGGAGCGGAACTTCTGCCTTGAGTCCTGATTGAAAGAAAGAAAAGACTTTGTTCACATTTTCAGTAAAAATAAATACAAGACAGCAGTGTTTGTGTTCGGGATATTCTGGCAACGTGTCTGAATACTGGGAGACGTTTAGATATTTCAATTTAGTCAAGAACTCACACGCTGACGTCTGATTCATGTTCCCTTAATGCTGGGATTTGATGGTTTTGTTCAGAATCAAACACACAGGAAATGAAATGAAACCTGCCTCTGCGTCGAGTCACAAGTGGACACAACTCACTGATCTGCTGTAAAACCCAAGAACTCCAAGATAAAACCGCAAAAATGTCGTTCCACATAATGGATGAGAAACTTTGACCCCCGACCATTAAACTTAATATAATCTGCGCAAAGTATTTTCACATCATGTGTCAGAAAACGCTGACACAGTTTTATGAGAGTGAGAGCTAAGGCAACACAGAAGAAGCCAGAAAGGCCTGTGAAAAGTTATCGTCTGATGTAATTCTGTTATCTGGCACGCAGCACGCCGCTTGTTCCGTATCAGAGCGCTCTGTTCGTTCGCTTGAACTCATCAAAGGGAATTTCTCAGAGTGACTCGGCTCTGAAATGTCATCGTGGTCACGTAATTGATCTGAAAGGAAGAACACGAAGGAAAGAACAGAGAGAGTGAGAGAAAAAATCTTTTCGTTTTTTAATCCCGCCCCTCCTTCCATCGCTCCGTGGGGGGAGGGGCAGCGAGGGTCAGTTATACAAGTGACATCAGGGATGTTGAGCAGCAGCGGACTCGATCTCAGGTCGTTACATTGAAGGACAAGGTCGAGCACAAGAACCCTTTAAACGTTAAAGAGGAAAAACAGCTTGTTGTGTTTGATTCAATTAAAACTCACGTGACAGGTTTCAGTGCCGCTCTTTACCTTCAGATTCTGAGTAGCACAGGTTCAACTGTGATTCATCAGAGGAGACGACTCCACCAGACAGAGACATGTTCGGATGAGTCTCAACATTCAGCAGCAGGAGACATTTGCATTTTTCCCAGTAAATGAAAAGTTCAGGCGCGATGGGAATAAACAGAGCCGACCCCGACGCTGCAGGACTTCACATTCTTTCACAACAACACGAGACGACTCGTTGCTCCACGGATCTTTAGAAATTCTGTGGACATTAGATGCAAGTCTCCGTCTCTCGGCCACGTCCCCTCGCTCCACCTGTGGGTGAACGTTTAAACTGGAGCCAGAGAGGGGATCGTATTATCACCATGTTGTTGTGGATGAATAAATATAATCTAGAGATGCAGTTTACAGACATGAAGTAAATCTGATTTACCTCAACATATGATTAACGTCTAATATATCAACTTATAAATAAATTATTTGTGAGTTCACTTCAGTTTATTAACTCACGTGATCGAATGAAAACACTATGTTTCAACAACACACTGTCATTCTAAGCATTAAATAAACTTTAACTAGTTTCCTGCCTGGAGTTAACTGTAGTAAACTTTTATAGTAGCACATACAAGTATCATAAAGACAACTAACTATTATAATAAGAGATTTCATTGCCACTGTGACTGATCCCAGACGTCACTGAGAGTTTAAACCCACGTCAGCAGCTCTCTGCCTCTTGACGCATCCTCTGAATGTGTCAGGTACGTATCCACCAGATTATTTGTCCTCAATCTTTTTCTTGTTTTTCACTTCCTTACAAGTTAAATGTCAGTCTGAGAATGTTTTCAACCAACTCATGGAGCCAGCTTTAATTTGCTGCTTAGCTACAGCTGATAGAAATCTGCCTGCCACAGCTGAGACCGAAAATGAGAAGCAGCTTTTTTCTCTTGGTCTGATGTCAAGATGTTGTTGATGTCCGCAGAGACTCTCCAGTGTTACGACTGTAAAGTGTGTGTGTGATAAAGAAGAAACGTCACTTTGGATTTGATTAAAAGGCTGAATTAGATTTCATCTGCTGAAAAACAATCTTTAAATGTTAATATGTTGAACTTTGAAGAAATTCCTAACTCACTTAAGTTTTCCTGTTATGCTTACACACAAATACACCCCCCCCCCCCCGTTTAAATTTAACCACACGTCACAAACTAAAGTTGGAAACGTAAGAACTCAGCAGCCTCACAATACGCACGCTGTTTTATTTCACACAGTTTTAGTTCAGTTGCACATCCTCAACATGTGGATGAAACGAGTTGTCACCGGCACAGATGACTGAAACTAACGTTCCTGAACATTAGTTTCTTGTCATTAAGTTTCTGATCTCGACTTCTATAAGGGGAATTTCTTTTTCCCCCCAATTTGCATGGTCCCCAGAGGACGAATCATTCACACATTGGCCCAGTAAATTTGTTGATTCTATTGAAATGCCTCAAATGGATCTATTGACTTTCCATCTGGCATTTTCATCTTTACATTTTTTTATTTGTGTTTATTTATGACCTGAAAAACAAATGAAACTCCCGTCAGTCTCAGTCCTATTAGGGAAAGTTAGCCGGCTCATTAGTAGCAGTAACAGCTCTTTAATCAATTTGTCAGATGATAATTGACTTTTACAGTTTTTATAGTTTCAATTTTAATCATAATTAAGCAAAACCACTGAATATCTGATGATGTCACGGAGACAAGACGTTTTTCACCAAATGGTTCAATCTAGAAGATAATCTGCAATTTGTGGTGATTTGCAGCTAAAAACTTAAAACCAGTACGAGACAAAAGGTGGGAAATGTTTTTCATTTTCGTTTCATTATTGAACATTTATCAATCAGCTAACTGTTTCAGCAGTGAAAGGTAAACGGGGGTTAAAGTGCTGCGTTTCAGTTTCTAGAGAAGAAGAGAGTCATGAAACTTTATAACCTTGGTGACTGAAGGTAAAAGAGCCAGTTTCTTGATTATGGGTGTAAACACACTCAGATTAAAGCCGGACGTCAGCACTTTAACTCCCCCTGTGAATGTCTCCCTCTCTGCTGCCGGTGATGCAGACTGCAGTGCAGCGTCTCGGGCTTAGACGCTGCACTGTGACGCACTTCACCTCGTCAACACGATTGTGCCCCGAGGCGTTTATGTCTACGACTTATCTGCTAAATTAAATGTCATCTGCATCGCTGCTTTCAAAGTACACTGGCTTCTTAACGTCGCTGAGTTTCCCACAACACTCCAACCGTTATTGCTCTCACGGTCACCTTCCCCCACGTCGGCCGTCTGGACACTGGGTCAGACGGAACAGAACAACAGGAAGCTCGGCCCAAACTGGAAAACGGTCATTTAAAATGTTTTTAAAAAGGGGAAATACCAATTCTCTCAGCAATCTACATGGGATCGAAGCCCTCTGTGTGTTTATGTGGGCGTACGTGGAGCAGAGCGGGAATGTCTGGTGTCAAGGTCATGTGATGATGAGTGTTTTTAGTTTCCTTGAGCAAGACGCTGATGTCTCTGACCTCGTTCTTACGACTGAGAGGAATGCAACTAAACATTATGTTCTGTAGGTTCTACGATCTCATGGATATTATTCAACTTAAGCTAAGGATGCATGAAGGAGACAATAAATGTTCAGCGTCACTCATTTTAAACAGAATAATAATTTCATATCTCAGTTCCATCATCGACGTTTGCATCGATTAGTCTGTCGATTGTTTCTTCGTCTTTTAAAACAAGTCCACCACCAGATTCAGAAGTTTCTGATGAGAATCAACAAACTCTTTTTCTAGAAACTGGAATCGGATCGTTTTTAGCGTCTTTGCTTGAAAATGACAATGATTCATTGATGAGCATAATAACTTCCACTTGATTATCCAGTTCATTAACTTATCTTCTCAGATCTAGAGGAGTCCAGCTCAGTACTGAGGGCGTACAGCATCACATCATCATGACTCGTATCAGAACCAACCGATTTTCACGTTGTGCGTTTGAACCAAAGAAATACTTGGTCTTATTTGTGTGTACAGATATTTGCAGTTATGTGCGAGTGTGTCAATTCATCTCCTCTGGATCTTTAAACTTCGGAACAAATCCGTCTTTAAGGACAAATTCAAGAGTATTTGTTGTCGTTTGTTTGACGTCATTTACATTTCTGTTGGGAGATAACCATCAGACCCTTAACGCTCGATCATGCAGCGGCTGATGCTTTGTTACTGACTGTTCTTGAGTTGTCCGTCCCTCTAACGGTCGTGGAGCCAGAAACAAAGAGCAGAAAGATAAATCTGTCAAGGTTTAACAACGCTCAGTGTAAACGATCACTTGGATTCGTTTCGGTCTCTCTTTCCTACATTTTGAACACAAGTGCAGCTTTAAGTTTTCACCTGCTGAAATGAATCATCGCCGCAGATTCTGGAGGAATTACAGAATAAGACACTAATAAGGGTTTATATGATGACAGCAAGAACTAGACCAGCTCCCACAAGAAGGCCCAACTTTTCCCTTTAATTCAGTCAAGCTGCTTCGCTCTCAAATATCAAAATATGTTTGTCATCAATATTCATGAATTTATCTGGGAAATCAGTAAATCTCTTAAAGATCTGTTAAAGAAAGTGATGCCAACATTCGTCCATCCAGAACAAACGGTGGAAGCGGTGGAAACACAACCTCCCGGGCAGAGGTGATGAAGCTTAGCTCTCGTCCGGTTAATTTCACCTCTGCAACCTGGAGGGGATCTGCACTGGGGACCTCAGGTTGTTTTAGGAAGGGAAATAAAATCGCAAAGTAACAATCCCTTCACGCACTGAAGTTAGCATGCTAACCAGCTAACAAGCCGTCTCATCACCATCGGATAGCGAGTCACTGTGGGGTCCAGTCCGCTGCTCAGAGAGCGTGATACACCTCATCATCACCGTCACCAATCAATCATCCAGACACATCCACCACCTGGTTCCAGCTCATCAGCAGAGAGAACTTCATTTGCCTCAGAGTAACACGAAGACACAAATGAACCTCCGGGCTGAGTGACACGAGGCCCAACGCTCCGTCTCAGGAGACAAGACTTTGCACGTTGACCCTGCAGAGCTGCTGCGTTTTTACTGGGACACAAAGATCGGTTATGCAAGTTAACAGGCCCTGATGGCCCGGGTGACTATCTCATTACTGCTGTTGTGTTCACAGGAGACCAGCGACACGCTGAACTCTGACTGATCCCTGAAAGTCGCTCTGCTTATCCGCGCCAGTAAAATTGCTTTAGACGCCTTTAAACTAGAAACAGGACAATTCACGGTACGTGCACACCAGCTGACACAGAGCAGCTCGTGCACTTTACAAACAGTCGGAGACAAAGCAAAGGTCAAAGAAGAAAATGCTGCATCTCCTCACAGGGTCAACACAACTCTCGTTATCTGGGTGAGCAGAGCACGAGAAGAGAATCAGCTGCACACGTCTGTCAACATTCAACACGCGGCACAAGAACACGGATAAACCCTGCGGACACACGCTCGTGCGGCGTGAGTGTGGACAAACTGACCTCCAGCTCCGTCTCGCATCTGTTGATGTCGTCAGTGGACTGGTTGAGTTTCTCCAGCTCCCCCTGGAAGAGAGGGAATAACAGAGGTGAAGGAGGAGAAAGGGATACGATCTAAAACCTGTAGTTACACAAAAACGAAGGGCAACATCCTGAATTCATTAAAATTAAAAATGTTCTTTTTAATATTCATGAACCCTCGAGAGCTGCTTTCAAAAGACATTTTCCTGAAACCACCTGAAGGGGCTGGGTGTGAGTGGTGAGTCTTTTATTCTGGATCATTTTCTAGAAATCTTCCCCCTGGAAAATATCTGGGAGAGTCCAGCAGGAGAATGTGCAACGTTTCCAACATGCAACAGACGTGAAGCTTTTGTTGATTTTGCGGATCCGTCCAAAAGCTGGAAGTGTTGTCAACACAAAAATAAACTTCGAAGCTGAGTCGGTGGATTCCGTCTTCCATGTTGTGTAAACAACAACACTGATCTTTCCACAGCAGAACGTATACGTCATGTTCTGTCTCTGACAATCTGCTGCTGCTTCACATGACAAACACGAACTCAGGAAAATGTGAGGACGCAATTGTTCGGACATTTCCCTGAACTTCCTGAAATACTTTAATTGAGTTCCTCATTATTTAAAATTATTGCTTTTTCCTCATCCTCAGAAACAGTCAACACATGTCCATCATGACATCTTAAAAATGTCTTTCTGTGAAACTCAAACACATTCAGTTTATTGAGAGGAGCAGTTGGATCAGACTCACGACAATTTAGACTAAAGGTTGAATCGACTCTTTGGTCGACAGATGCAACAAGAGGTCACATGACGGAACCGGTGAAACATCACTTCACAGTTAATCAGGTGATTAGTTTGAATCGTTAAAATCAAAGTGGATCATTTCTACTTTAACGAGCTGTAACATTATAAACTGACGTAAACATAATGAATGAGACACAACTATGTGTTAATCTCAGTATGTGGGAGAGAGAGAGAGAGAGAGAGAG